TTCCTGTAGCTGTGATGTCCTCTTCTATCAAAAAGCGTGGAATGCATTTTTATACGTAAGAATCAGAGTAAAGTGCGGTTGTAGGATCTTGAAGAAGTCATTCAGGCTGCTCCATATTGTGTTCCTCTTGGATATTTGCATCTCTTATTATTTCTTCATTATAAACTTAGATTCTTAGGTTTAAAAAAGAATTGTTATTTCTTAACTATATACATTTATTTATTGAACCACCCAGAAGGTAAAGTTCAAGATTCTCATTGGCAGCCTATAGAGAACAGAACAATTATCTGCTGTCTGTGACCTAAATTGTCTGTGGATAAGTTAAAGTGTTCTCTTGGTGTCTCTGTTATGTTCTTGCTCTGCATTCTTATTTCCCAGACCAAGAGCACAACGTGGATGTCAAGGATCAGGCCACAGCGATGTTTCTCTAAAAATTCTCGAATGCTCTTGTGTGTCTACAGTTCCTTTCCATCCTTCTTTCTTTGTTTCTTTTTTTAAAAGCAAGACCTTGGCCATCCCTTAGTCTCTACTCCTGTTGTGACCAGGATCACCTACTGTAACTGAATGGAATATCTTAGTCTCAGTGTTTTTAATTCAATTAAATAAGCTTACATTTATAGTCCACTATATACTAGGCACTGCCAAGTGCCAAAGGCACTTGCCAAAGTGCCAAAGGCAAGATCACAAGACACATATCCTTTTTTAAAGGAATTGGAATCAAACTGGGCAAAGAAACAAGCACATAAACTAACAATAATAGAATTACAAACTATGACTATAAATGTAATTGTTGTGGATGCATAGGGCAGGACAGATTGATCCCTATTAGGAGAAATCAGAGGAGGTTTCCCAGAAATGGTGGCATGGGAGCTAGGCCTTGATGATGTCAAGAATGTCCAACTACAACAACAGAAAGGAATAGGAAGAAGAAGCCTGAATGAAGAGTGTCAGAAATTGGTATTAAGAGTATCAGTTGACGTCAGCTATAAAGAGTATTTGGACTGAAAGAAAGAATGAAGAAGAACTGATGCTTATGGCAAACACCAGTTGTCATAAATTAGCACGAGGGTTTGACAATAGGCCATGATAGTAACATAATTGTGTGTTCCTGGACCACTGGTGTCCTGGGTGACCCCTGCAGTAATTTGGGATGGGTGAGCATTCCTAGGAGGAATACGTGATATATTCCTCCTATATATATATATCCTCCATAATATATTATGGGATGCACTTGGGGGTGGGGCTGGAGGTGTCCTGTGAGATATCAGAGAGTCTGCGAAGCCCTGCCTAGCCTGCTGCCTTGGATTTGAACTGCTAGGGAGTGGGCAAAGCTTACCTGGTGCATGCACCCCTAATCCGTGATTTGGCAACCCCAGAAAAGACACAACTGCTTGGAAATAACCCTGGTAAACAAGGAGTAGCAAGACCAAAGGGACTGAGATTTTATGGTGAACCCCAGAGAGTCCAGTGTAGCTGAAGTTCACGTTGTTTGGGAGAAAGGAGACCAGCTTGCTAAAGGCTTGGGGGATGCTTTGCCAGGACTTGGGGTGATTCTTCAGGCAGTGGAAGAATAGGAAACAAGAAAGAGGAAGGTGACATGCTGAACCTGAGTTTTCTGAAGGTGACTCTGGCAATGGTCACAATCTAGTAGCAAGAGAAACTAGAGACTGCCCTTTACAGTGTAATTGTCCAGGAAGAGGAGTAGAGGACCTGTTCTATGGACAGGGATGTTGGCCATGAAATAGAGAGTAGAGCAAGACAGGCCAGGTATCAAAGCAGGAGCGTGTGCCCCAAGGGTCTCTACTGGGAACTGTCCGTCATGTGGGGACCTATCTTCAGCGGTCCTCTAAGAAATAGAAGAGTTTGTGAGATCTTAAGCGTTTATCATAAGATCTTCTGAAAAATGTCTTTTCTTTGTCCACATGCTTATGCCCCCTACCCACTCCCAATTCTATTAGATTTCATAAGGAATTGGACATTTAGAGACAGTGAGCCACCTACCAAATGTACCCATGTCCATTATCAATAGAACTGGGGCTGGGGTCCAAGCTAAACAAAGGATATTCCAAATACATAGAAGAGAAAAACTTTGTCTGCTTCTAAATAAGCAATAAATGGGAATGCACCTCTCCATAGTTGTGTCACCTATACTTCTCAGGCAAACAGATGTTTCTATGGAAAGATGTAAGATAGTCATTTTTAAGTGTCTTTAATGACTGAAAATTTAGCAATATAGAGGGTTGGTCCAGTGGCGTAGTTGTTAAGTTCAAGCGCTCCACTTTGGTGGCCCTGGGTTCACAGGTTTGGATCCTAGGCACAGACCTACACATTGCTTATCAAGCCATGCTGTGGTGGCATCCCACATACAAAATGGAGGAAGATTGGCACAGATGTTAGCTCAGCGACAATCTTCCTCAAGCAAAAAGAGGAAGATTGGCAACAGATGTTAGCTCAGGGCCAATCTTCCTCATCAAAAAAAAAATTTTTAACAATATAGATATTTTTATTCAGTGAATTTGAAAGCTAGACTAGGACCACTGTAAAGACAGTAGTAGTTATGTGGGAACCATTAAAATAGAATGAAGTTTGCAAATATCTGATGATGCGTAAATAACGAAATAGAGTTTTTGCTCTCCTTGTACCCAATTTGTGACTCTCTCTTCCCAGTCCAACCTGACAACCTGGCAACATCTCACTAGTCCTTCAGGATTTCTCTTTTCTCTCATTTACTTATCTACCCTTTTTGGACCGTCCCAACGTCCAGCATTCTTCTTCCTGACTACACTGCCCAGCATCCCAAACACCCACGGACAGAAGGGTTTTCCGTTAACACCTTGCTCTCACCAAACTGGCATATCACGTCATTACAGCTGGATGGAGAGTGAGTTCCTGGAGGGCAGGTGCTATGATATCACTTTTCTGTGTGTTGTCAATATTGAGAAACAATCCTGGATTATGAGAGATCCACAATAAAAAGTTAAGTTAAATAATAGTTGGGTATTACATAGTACCCAAGAATTGTAGTGCCAGAAAGGATGAGAAACTTCAAGGAGAAACTTTGCATCTTATATAGAAATTTTTTCTATAGTTTCTAGCCTCTTAAAAAAAACGAGAGGGCCAGCCCCGGTGGCCTAGTGGTTAAATTTGGCACACTCTGCTTCAGTGGCCTCGGTGTGTTCGGTTCCTGCGTGTGGACCTACACCACTCGTCTGTCAGTGACCGTGCTGTGGTGGTAACTCACATACAAAAAAAAAAAAAAGAGGAAGATTGTCAGTGGCTGTTAGCTCAGTGTGAATCTTCCTCAGCAAAAGAAAACAAGAGAGAGAGAAATCTCAGGTCTTACAATGTTTGCGTGGCCCTGTTAGAAAAGATTCCTTCTCCCATTCTACAGCTTCTACCCATGCTTGTTAGTCCATGTACTGTTCAGTACGGAACATAAGACTGAGTCCTCTGCGTTCTTGTGGAAATGTGCAAAATCAGTCTGGAAGAAGCTATGACATCAAGGGTAAGGTGTGGAGTGTCGATGTGACGCCAAGTCTTTTGTAAACTGCACATAGTTCAGTTTACAAACAGCTGCAGAAATGACCACTAACCTTCTGATGGGGCAAAACAGGTATTTTTAAACTGACAAGTGATGAGGTTATTTCTGGCAAATGTGCCACGCTTGGGGCACAAGAGGGAGGACTTGGTAGCAGAAACCTTCTGTTCAGATCACTCCAGACTACCCAGCTCGTCTGATTCTAAATCTAAAAGATTTCAGTTCCATGTACTTTATACAAGAAATTTACATTTTAGTCTAGGACTGCAAAACAATGCTCAGACTGTCCCACCCTTCTAGGTGGGATGTAACTCGTTCTCAGGAAAGTTTTCTTCCTAATGTTAACTACAACAAATCTGCGTGGACCTAGAAGGAAAGACCTACACACAATAAGAGCAAGTTCTAGTATAATATTTTTTTCTCATACAAATTGAAGAAAGTTTAATTTCTAGTTAGCTTACTTTAACTTCTGTGTTCAGCAAGTTGCTAGTAGCGTATTCGCCTTGTGATAGAAAACAGTACTTTAACCCTGAGAGGTTTACGAGTGAAGGCCTTGTCATCCCGGAAGATCTTATATCTGAATGAAGAGTGAAACATACAAATTAAAGGAAGTTCACATATAAAAGAGACGAACAATAGAAAGATATGTTACTCCTTAACATAACATGAAAAAGTTTTAGTCACTTAGTGGATTCCTTTCTTAGAAAAAAATTCATATAAAATGAATTTTTAATGAATCATATTTTACACACTTTCCCATTATGTAATCAGATACATTCTTGTTATATAATAGAAATCGACATTAAAAAAACATTTCAGAATTTAGCAAGCCTCAAAATTATATTTCAAAGTAAATAATCAATTATAAAGCTTTGAAAAAATTAAATTGTCCATAAATAAAATTCGACAGCAATATATCTTACAGAAACTCTAGTATAAAATATCTGGCTTTTATGGCTAAATTGTAGAACTGTGTCCAATTTCAATATTTGCCCAATAATATCAACACTAACTGAGTATCTAATGCTAAATCCTGGCAAAAACAAATATGTGCTCATTTAGCTGGACTTAGTAACATGTTACTACATACCTGACATTTCAATAATGCAGGGTTTTAATAGGGCTGATTGATAGTTAAAACATAAATTTCTAACAGGTGTGCAAAGATTTCGTATTAGCTAGATTTTTGAGCCAATGTAAAGATCATCTGGCTAATGTTGGCATCAATTTTATGCACACATATATATAATTTAGGGATATATACTATATGTATATTATATATATACATACATATATTGTTTAAAGATGTGGTTATATATATAGAAGAGTAATGAAATACCTAAAATAGGATGGATTAACCTAGGAGTAGCTCATGAATGTATTAAAAACAAGATGTTTTTATTCCGTTAGAGACACAGATCTTTGTTGCATCTTTTTAATAGTTTTCTTTGTTTTTAAACAGGTTGTTTGGTATAAAATCAGTAATTCAAACAGACTGTTCCAGCACGTGGAAGATCATTGCAAACCCAGATCTGTCCTGGTATCACCATGCCAACCCCATCCTACTGCTGGTGATGTACTACACGCTGGCAACTCTGATCCGCATCTGGCTGCAGGAACCCCTTGTAAGGATAAAAAGATTTTCATGATCTTGTCTGCCAAGTAACCTGGAAATTCCAGGTGAAACTGTTCTCTCCTATTAACCGCTGAGTAATCAATACTATATTGCAGACTAAGTGAGGCAGGGGGATGAGGGTGTCTCCTTGGGCACAAGTGAGGACTGGTTTCTTTCCCGTGAGAATATTAACAAGGCTGTGGCACTTTTGAGGGCAGGACCAGAGAGTGTGTGACTTCTCTCTTTTCCCTTTCAGTGACAGAAAACCTTAGTCCGCTTTTGTTTCCTCCCCTAGATGACTGTAAGAAGCTCAGTTGTAAGGTAGGTTATTGGCACACGAGGGAGGCAGGGAGTGTAGACAAGGATTGTCACACCATCCATCACCCACCGGGGGAGGAGCCCACGCTAGAAGCCCACTCTGATGAGCATGCTGGGCTGACGTCTCTGCGATCCAGTCACACCTCCTCCTGGCTCACTTCTAGCTTGGGCCCTGGTGCAGTTGTCTACTTATCCCTTTTCTGTTTGCACACCCACTCACTATATCCACACATTGAGTTACTCAGTTAGTCAGTCAACAAACGTTTATTGAAGGCCAAATGTCTCAGACACTAACCTGGGGGCCAGGGATAGAGCAGCGACACGGTAGGCAAGGCCCCCACCTGGAGGAGCTGTATCTTCTCCAAAGCATCCAAAAGACGTAAGTGGGATCCGAATCCGAGTCAGATAGTACAGTGAAACTGGGTGAGATGCATATCTCTGTCCATCCCCGGCGGAGGTGCCAGCTGCAGAAAGGGGCTCTGTCTGTCCTCCCGCCTGTGTGAAGCCTCCTCCCCATGGCGCAGACAGGCCCAGTTATGAGTGCCACAGAGGCCCTCCATGTCCCCAGGGCTCTCACATATCGCCTGTCTTCTGGGCACACTGACGGCGGTTGCATAAAACAGAAATGCCCCACGAGGTCATAAAGAATCCGAATCATCTTGTCTTACATTTTCTCCAATTCTCTTCCAAAGTTTGTGTGCCAGTAAAATCCTTTCCAGTGTTTATTGTGTTCTCTTCCTCCATAAACACACATACGGATATGTATATAGATACAAATAAAAATGTGTGCAAAAGAAATTAAAATATATTATGAGAACTATTTCTGAACAACGCCTCACCAGTGAGGGAAATTACTTTAAGGCGTTGTTGTTAGTAAGAGTTCCAGGTGCCCTTAGCTTTCTCCATGATGTCTCGGGTCTCGCAGACCGGCAGGAGCTTGTGTACGGATGCTCTCATGCTCTCATGAAAGGTGAAGTCTGTTACAGCCCCTCAGGCTCATGAGACATGTGGGTCCCTTAGCCACAGGCCCTCTGGGGATAAAGGAAGGTAGAGAGCTAGGGAGACATCTAAGTTACAGGCCGCACAGTTAGTAGCAGTATTACAGATCACGGCTTCTGGAGGTGTGTGTAGAGAACAGGGCTTAATTCATCGACATTTCAGGTGGTCCGTATTTTAAATAGGCTGGGACACAGGACTTTCTCATTGAGGCAATGATGGAAGACAGCTGGCTGATTATATCATAGTTCCAGATGATCTGGCACATTTCATGAAAAATGCCAGCCAGCAAATGTGAGTTCTGAGGTAAAAGTCTGTGATACATGTTTAAGAAAGAGAGCAAGAGAGAGAAACAGGTGTCACGAGTTAAGCATTATAGATGGGCTCCCACCTGGTGAATATGAGTTCCCACCCAGGGCATCGGTATGCCTCTATGGATGCTCTATGCTGGCACACTAGAACCCAGGAATTGGGCATTAAGATAAGTCTCCTCCCTCTGCTCCAGTATCGACAGTGCATTAATGCCCTTTTTATTGGGCCCTCTTTGCTGGGAAACCATAGATCACCTAGGTGCCTTCTGTTCCTTATCATGTCTCCCAGACCAGTTGTCTAATTGAGGCCAATGTCTCATTAGGCAAGGCAAGAGTTTTGTGCATTAGATACGTTCTTGCTTAATATCATGTGTAAGCTCCAGAGCATTCTGCCTCTAATAAATTTCTTCTTAATTAAAGATTGCCCGTGGCTGGCTTACACAGTTAACTGTGCACTTTTCGGAAAGCTCTTCCTCTGAGAGCCATTTGCACAGCTGCTTTCCGGGGCAGTTTAGAACACACGTTGAGAAGCTGCGGATACTCACCATTAGAGCACATTCCTGTAATTTGTGGGGCTTAGTAGAAGTCAGGAAACATTTAATATTGATGCGCTGAGCATTTACAGGCAGCATTTTTGTCATTTTTTAAAGTGTCTTGATAAAAGCACATATATTTTATACATTAACTTTAAACAATAATCATATTGAGGCCGAGGTGAAAGCTTCCTCTGGGGGCACCCAGGGGCCCGAGGGCACTGCTCTGGGAAGCAGAGCTAGTCCTGTGGCTTATTCTGTGTCTCAGGTGCAGGATGAGAGGACCAAGGAGGAGGACAGAGCCCTGGCTTGTAGCCCCCTGCAGATAACCGCTGAGAGGAGGCGGAGCCTGTGGTACGCGACCCATTACCCAACCGATGAGAGAAAAGTAAGCCACCGAGAAAGAAATTTTCCTCTCCTAATTTATTTTGCTATTTTCATATTATATTGCTGAATATGAGTCATATAATATCATATGCAAACTCAGATTGCTCACAGTTTGTAGAAATAGTTTGATTTTAAGTCTTAGTACCAGAGACCTCTATTCAGGGAAGGGAACCTGGTGCTCCGAAAGGAAATGCCATGGTTCCATCATACCCTACCATTTTATATTTCAGTGCTTTCTACTGAAATCTTAATCCTAAAAAGAAAGAATGTTCTTAATTTTTAAAGGTAATTTTGTGTTTAAAACAAACAAAAAATACTGAAGCAACCTGTTAGCACTGGGCAGTGAAGTCCCAAGTGTTGAAATACATCGGAGAAAATCATTTCACTCTTTTGGGGGACCAGCCACACCCTTAACTCAAGGAACCCCTTAGAGAGGTCGAAACAGTTTATATGAATATGATTAAGGATCTCGTACTACTTTGAGCAACAGTATCGATTGACAAGGACAAGGGAGTCACAATTGGGTAATTCATACAGCCTTTTGGTCATTTACTGATCATTCTGAACTCAACTCAGTCAGGCTATATTGAGCTCTTTAAAGGGCCTATTTGCAATGTTGTAAAGACAAATGCTCTTATGATTCTTGGATGGGGTCAGCATCTTGCTTCCCAGCATGTTAGAGAGCTGAGGAGTAGACTGATTTATTTGGTGGCAGGTGAGTTTCTCTGGGACACACACATCTTATTCTGGGTGTGACTGTCCTATGTGGAGAGAGGGTGACACAGTAAATGAGCTGCCTTAGGGATGACCACATGTGGGGCGCGTATGATGCCCTAACATGTCCAAGGATTCCCCCGGGCCCTTCTCTCTCTCTCTCACCACATTTCAGATTATCCTGCCCATTTCACTACATGATGGAGATCGACAGAGGCTAGCACAGCAGTTTTCAAAGTGAGGCCTTGGACCTCTGGGGATTTCTGAGACCCTTACACGGATCCACAAGCTCAAAACGATTTTTGTAATAACACTTAAAATATTTGCCTTTTTCTCTGTGCTGACATTTGCTGTGCTGGTACAAAAGCACAAACCCCCACACGTATGGCCATGCCTTGATGGCCACACACTCACAGAAGACAAAGCAGACAGGCCAGTTCCACAGAAGAATATCCTTGATAAGCCAGAAATAGTTATTAATTTTCTTAAATCTCAACCTTGGCCCACATGCCTTTTTAATATTCTGTGTGACAAAATAGGAAGTGCGCGTCAAGTGTCACTGTAAAGTATGACGACCATCTCGATGAAAAGCCCTTGAGCGATAGTTGGAAGTGTGAGCTGAACTGGCTGTTTCCCACCACACACCAGATTTACTTGAAAGGACACTGATGGACAAATTATGGTTATTCCAGTGTGGGAATTTGGCAAACAATTACTGGAAAATAAATGAAATGAACTCGTCACTTCTGGACAAACAACTGACAGCATTTGTTGCCAATGATAAAATTGGAACTTCTGAGTGAAAATTAGAATATTGGAAAACTTTTTTCCACCACTGAGAGCTTGACAACTTCCCAATACTTAAGGACTTTCCTGATGTGATCAGTGATGATATTAGCAGATATACTTTTTAAATATCATGCAATGAAATGTGTCAGTATTTGGTAGAGCTATATAACTCACTGAAGCAAATCACCGACACATAATACTACAACGCTTGGGTGAAGGTTCCAGTCAAGGTGCCAGATACATCAGTGGATCTTACTGTAACAGAGTGTGAAAAGTTCACTGATACGCTTTCAGAGTCCACGTTGCAACTAACCTTCAAGTTACTATACTTGCTGAGTTTGGTGTAGTATCAAAGAAGAGTACCCACAATTACCTGGATAAATTATTGAAATACCCTTTCTTTTTCCAACTGCGTAGCTTGGTGAAGCCAGATTTTCTTCACATGCTTCAACCAAAACAACATACCACAACAGATGGAATGTAGAAACAGATATGAAAACCAGCTGTCTTCTTTTAAGCCAGAAACTAAAAAGATGTGCAAAAGGATAAAACAATGCCACTTTTTTCACTATGTGGGGTTTTTTTTTGAAAATATAGCAATTTAATAAAATTATTTATGTTAACATGTAATGTTTTTTAATTTTTAATGAATTAATAAATAAACAATTTTAAATGCTTCAATTTTTATTATGGTAAATATTGATAGATAGGACCCACATAAATAAAAACTCTTTGGGACTCTCATGATTTTTAAAAATGTAAATGAGTCCTGACCCCAAAGTTGTGGAACAGTTGGCATAGCAAATGTTTATTATTTGAGGGGAGCCCAAACCACCTGGCACCAACATAGTTAAAAAACATAGTCAGATAATAATTATTTTCTTGTAGACAATATGCAAATCTTAAAATAATCTCAGCCCACACTACAAATCAATTTTTCTTTATTATGAAACTTCTATTTCCTGAAAAGTAAATACTTTCAGAATTCTGCAGATGTCTTGAAGGGTTCTAGGAGTGTAAAACCAAGCAGATTATTCTATTAGAATAAAACACACTTGAAATACATAATCAACTTTTGTAGTCATGTAGTTTATGGCTGTTTTTTTGCTGTTATAATTAAAAGTTAACATGAGAAGCTGGGAAACTGTTATAATAAACAGCAACGTCCAGTTCAATTATCTGTCCCTCTATATTTTGCATGGCAGTTTTAACATACTAGCATCCAGCTAGTTTAGGAGAATGGGTATGTGTATAGTGAAAATTTATGGATAAACATTATAGTGCTTTCCGCTTACATATTAACATGCTGTCCTGCATTGCTTTTGCAGCTTTTATCCATGACTCAAGATGACTACAAACCATCTGATGTTAGTATATCCTTAGAATTATCATTTATGCTCATGTAAGTGATGTAAAAGTGACAGAAATGGAATTAGCTCCTTTAAGCGTATTTTAATGATCTATAAAATTGCCGTAAGTTTTTGAATAATTTTTTTGCAGAAATTGTATCTGGTTAATTGCTGTTAAAGCACTGACTCCTATAATGTGAGCTCAAGTATAATCATGTAAAATGTGTTTAAACTTTTAAAAAGCCACGTTAGAGGAGTTTTTGAAAGTGCTTTGCTCTGCAGATACGCCTATTACATAATTTGAATAGGAAGTCTTGCGTATCTGTGGACAGACACGCACACATATATATGCATGTGTGTATGTTTATATGTATACGTACATCTCAAAAATTGTAAAGCCAAAGAGACAGAGGGAAAAAACGAGAAATGGCACTTAGCGTATGAAGTGCTGCAATAAGGGAATTGCAAGCTGGCTGCATCTGGGGGAGATCCTTAGAGGAGGTGCTGGCTAACCTAAGACTTTGAGTTAGTTCTGGGCGGAGCTTCACTGGGTGTGGGACAGGACAGGACGGGAGGGGCCAGGGCAGCGGTGCTCCTGGCCAGGGTCCCAGGGTCCAGGAAAAGTCTGGATTTCTGCAGAGCTGGAGGGATGGCTGGAGGAGGACAGCCCTGAGGCTGGGGCTAAAGAGGAGATCGCACCAGATCTGAAGCGTCAGTCAGCCGTTTACGGGGTTTACACGTTACACTGAGAACAGAGGGTGCGTTGCGTGGTCTTTAGCAGAGGTGGAACAAGGTCAGGTTTACGTTTACTGTGGTCACTCTGGGGAGAATACATTTGGAGAGGGAGTGTACATGAGTCAGCTCGCTCAAGTGGGTAGTTGACTGAGTTGTTCACTCAGTTCTTCACTGCTGAGTTAGGCTTACCTAGCGTAAGGGAAGGAGGCGGGATGTGCATGTTGAAACCTGAGGCTGCTGTCACAGGTATGCCTTGCCCCGCACTCCCCCGGCAGGGTCTACTGGTGACTGTGAACGGCAATCCTGTGGACTACCGCACCATCCACCCCGGTCTTCCCATAGAGAACGGCCCCGCCAAAGCTGACCTGTACTCCACCCCGCAGTACCGGTGGGAGCCCTCCGATGACTCCTTGGGTAAGGAGCCAGCTCTGGGGGTTGCGAGTCACACCCAGGGATTTATTTCCTCTCATTAGCTGGGCATTTTTCTGTCTTTTGTTTATTGTTTATTGGATTTGGTCCTTTCTTTTTTCTAACCAAGATGTTGTCTTCCATGGTCAGTATAATTAAGCTCATTTCCTGAAGTTCTGCCTATATTTTGCCCCAGCGTATTACTCTGTGTGTTCTATCTTTGCATACAAAATAAAGTGGCATAATTGGGGTGAACTTTGAAAAATAAAAGGTAAAAGATTATTTTAAACATGTCAATTTATGTATGTTTAGTATTAAACCTATGTGTATATATGTGCTTTAGTTTTTCTTTAAGTTGATATTATAATCATGGTCAATAGTTTTGCTAGTTAATGGATGAATGTTTTCAGAAAGATGAATGTTTTCTTTTTGTCTATTAAAAAAGAAGAGAGGGTCAAAGCTCAGGGCCGGTCTTCCTCAGCAAAAAGAGGAGGATTGGCATGGATGTTAGCTCAGGGCTGGTCTTTCTCCAAAAAAAAAAAAAGAAGAGAGGGTCAAAACTTGTACTGGGCCTGTTTCCCTTTTCTCTCAGTTTCTTGTGTTGACGGAAAGCAGACTGTTACTAGAAATGACAAATTGGTGGCTTGGGGTGGAGATCTGAGCCTCAGACTTGTTTTTTGGGCCGATACAGCATTTTCTTTAAAAAATTAAATAGTAACCAACGTTTAAAAAGCTGCAGCTCTGACCTAGAAATGGAAATTTCTGGAATCCCTTGAAGAATGTGAATATCTGGTGACACTAATCCCTTATTTCTGCAACACAGCCATTGGCTCAGCCTCTGTGGTCATTGTCCTGTCGGAGACCACACCAATCACCACTCCATGAAGACAGAATTCGCTAAGTTTACTATTGAGAGGAAAAATAGCAGAATACATGCAGGTAGCAAGAAGTGGCTACAAAACTCTAGTGGATTTTTCTATTTATATGGAATTAAAGCTCCTGTTGTTATACGTTATCCTACCTTTGGGAAACAGCCAGCAGCTATTCAACCTGCATTATTGGTACATTAAGCTTACTCTAATGCCCTTTTTCCATAATTCTTCACCAGGCTTATCCTAATGTGCTGTTCTTCCTAGTTCTTTATCAGTGTGTCCTGCAGCTGCCCCTGACAGTGCGTCTGCTTAACAGTGTACCTCTTAACCGCATTATCCAGCATTCCTCAGGGAGGTCAGATCAAGTTCAGCCCCCCTCCCCCATCCTCCCCACACCCCCAGCCCCAGATGACACCTGTGACCCCACAGAGCACCAGACTTTATGGGGTAGTTACCTGTTTCTGCTTCCTACACGCACGTGTTTTAGCTTGCAACTTGGACTTAAATGAAGGTTTTCTCTTACTGAATAACTCAGGGAAATACAGTACTTTCTAAAGTGTGGTTTCCAGAGCTTCAGCATTGGAATCACAAAGGGCAGCCCTGAGAACCAGCGCTGTGACTTCCAACGCTCCTCTGTTTACACACCGCTTACCTGGGAAGAAATGAATAGAATTGTGACTGCTGACTAAGGGAACCCTAAAGTAAAACAAAAGCTGGAAAATTACTTGTTATTTGAATCTATATATGCAAAAGGTGTCATGACCAGAGAGTAGCATGCCGGTAACTGTAAACTCCATCACATTCAGTGTGTTCATCACTGTCTCTGATCCACGGGCTTCCCCATATGAACCCCAGGCTTATCATACGACCCTCAAACTGGAGGAGTGAAGGCTGTGGGCTTCTGCATGAGGAATGACCATTAGAGGCTCCCTTCGGAGCCTGCGTGGGGACACGCATGGTCACTGATTTTTTGGTGGTTTATACTTCCTCTTCATGGTGCTAAACTACTCCCTAAATAGGATGTAATCCATTTACATGTAGCCCATTTAATTTAAACAAGAAAGGCAGAAAGGGCGTTTTACTTAAGTGTCACTCGTTACTTCATCTGTGAAATCAAAGTAGCTCCCCTGCCCACTGTAGGAGGGTCTTGAGGAGGAACGCTTCCTGCACGCCCACGCCAGCACTTTCCTGTTGCTGGTCTCCTCAGCCCTCCGTACTTTCGCTTTCTTGCTTTTACCTGATCTTTCCGTCCTCAGTATGACTTTCCTGCCTCAGCATGACCTAAAGGGAAACTGTGGGACACCGAGCTCACTCTGGCAGAGTGGTTGGTTGGTTGGTTGGTTTTCTGCACCTTTACTCTATCCATATTCTGTATACTCTTTGTATTTGTTATCTATTACTGAGTAACAAACTTAGTGGTTTACCCTCAAAGTTAGCTTAAAACAACATTTAGGGTCACACAGGTTCTGTGGGTCAGGAATCAAGTGTGACTAGGCTGAGTTCCTCTGGCCCAAGGTCTCCCATGAGGTTGCAGTCAAGCTCATGGGGAGGGGAGCCCCGTGGCTGGGGCTTCGGTCTCATCTGAGGGCTTGCCAGGGGAGAATCTGCTTCCACACCCACTCACGTGGCTATTCACTGGCCTCGAGCTCTTGCTGACTGTTGGCCAGAGACATCAGTGCTTGCCACCTGGGCCCCTCCAGAGGGCAGTTTACAACATGGCAGCTGGCTTCTCTTAAAACAAGTGAGCAAAGGAATGAGAGAAAGCAAAAGCCACAGTCTTTTTTAACTTAATCTTGGAAGTGATATTCTTTCCCTTCTCAAGTATTCTATTTGTTAGAAGCCCATCAAAGGTCCCACCCACACTCAAGGAGAGAGGGTTCCACAAAGGCATGAATACCAGATGGTGGGGATCATTAGGGGATCATTAGGGGATCATCATCTTAGAAGCTTTCTTCCACACTCTCTCAAATTGAAATTTTCTTCCTGAGATTTCTGAGTGCTAGGTTCCATTACACTTACCAGGCAGAACTTACTGGTGTTGTTTGAATTCTAAGGGCTTTGTAAATTGGAAATAATCTCTGAAGTCTTAAATAAAAGGCTATGCTAAAACTATTCATGCAGCTGCACTGCTTGGGACATTTATACAAAGTTCACATATTTGCATAAATAGTTACATAAAGTATTTGTCCATCTAGAAAAGAAAGAGGAAGAAGAGGATGAGAAAGAAGAATTTGAAGAGGAAAGGAGCCATGAGGAGAAAAGAAGTGTTAAAGTTCACGCCATGGTCTCTGTGTTCCAGTTTATTATGAAACAAAGTTACATCTGTGCCCTTATTGCTATGATGGTATGTATGGGAGGCGACAGCATGTGCTGGAGAAATGGTGCATGTACCCCCTCGGGCTCCCAGCTCCGCCATCCGTTCATGGCCAGCACAAATATCAATCTTCCCAGCGTCTTGGCAGAGAACGGTTGGTTGTGTTAATTTTTCATGGGATCTTTATGATATAGATTTCGAAATCCTGTCTTCTTCTCTTCTTAGTCTCCTTTTAAATATTAATACATTTCTCTCAAATTGGCCTATCAAGTCAGACTGTCCCCTATTTTGCCAATTTAAAAGGACACTTTGGGTAGTTTTCCTATGTGTATTGCAGGTGTTCATGATTAACATAGACTGCTTTTATTTCTTTCAGATAGTGAGAGTTATATTCCCCTTATCTTAGATTTGAGTGAAACTTTATTCCATCTTAGCTGGAATAAATTGTTACCGATACAAACATCAAGCAACCAGAGTCCCCAAGAGCTTTTCCGATTGTAGCGCTCAGTTTATGTAGGTTTCTACTCACCTCTAGGTGCATCTTCCATCTCTAACACATCATAGCTTCAAAAATAGTCCTTGGGCCTATGGATAGAAGATAAAAGAAGTTTTAGTTTCTACCCTTCCTAAAAAATTTTCTTGGGAAATCTGATTTATTTTTGAGAAACCTAACATTTATTTAACACAAAACTCTTCCAATTTTGTGGCCAATAGTGAGATCCCGTGGACACCTTTGGTGATACAAAATGAAAATATTCTCTAACTCTAGAGGAAACAATACCTAAACACGGTTTCCGCGGGCACTCAGTCCAAATGTCTCCCAGGTGAACCTGTGTGTGACTCAGCTTCAGTTTCTAATAAGGACCACTGCCACATCTGAGAGTGGGTTCGGGAAAAGCAAGCTCCTCAAAATTCAGGATGGCTGATTTGGGATTGCAAACTCTGGTCTGTAAACAGTATTAATTCTGTGCTCTTTGCGTGCCTATGGACATTTTCCACGTATCGACCTCTAATTTAAACTACAGCAAAACTCTGATTTTAAAATATCAAACATATTATAAATGCAACTAGTTTTGATTCTGAACTTGAGTATACACTTTTTTTCTCTCTAAAAACAAGCCAGATAAGGTTGGTTTTTTTTGTAAAGAAATAGAGCGTTAAGAAAAACTTTGAATACATGTTTTGTTACTTAGAAAAAAATCTGTTGTGAAAACAACATAAGCGAGCAGATCCTTCATTAAAGACGTGCCCTCGTCTGGTGCCACTGCTGTTGTTGTAATGGAGCCACAATATTAATGTTTTAAAAGCGCCTGCCTTCCGTGGAAGCGCCCTCATTGCAGCAGACTTCTAATCCCAGACAGAAAGAGAGGTCCTGAGGAGCCAAGTCTGGGGGAATGATATGTGTGTTTATTCGAAAGGACAAAGTGCTCAACTGTCAGACAGTCCGGAAACGGAACATCAGAAGCGACATAATGCAGAGTCTGCTTCCCAGCCCCGCAACTGAAGGCGTGTGTGACGTAGACACTCAAAAAGAAAGGTTTTATAAAATCCTCATAACTGGTTTTTCTCCCTCGTCCACCCTCACCCTCACAAACAAGAATAGTGTGCAGGGAAAAAAATCTACTGGAATTACAATATCTGGGAGGATTATTTTCCTGGGTCACACACACAAAATGGCAATCTTATCTGCATTTGATACTGGGATAAATGCAATAATCATAATAATTGCTATTATTGCTAATTATTATGATTATTGTTTAATGCAAATACATTAATGTTACCTCATCTTTGATAAACACTATTTCCAAGAAACAATATTTTCATGAAAATAATTCAGTTTGATAATAGTTGTAGGTCACTAACTTAATTTTTTTTTTTTTGAGGAAGATTAGCCCTGAGCTAACATCTGATGCCAATCCTCCTCTTTTTGCTGCGGAAGATTGGCCCTGGGCTAACGTCTGTGCCCATCCTCCTCTAGTTTATGTGAGACACCTGCCGCAGCATGGCTTGATAAGTGGTGCGCGGGTCGGCTCCCGGGATCCGAACCTGCGAACCCCAGGCCACTGAAGCGGAGGGCGTGAACTTAACCGCTGCGCCACTGTGCCAGCCCCACTAACTTAATTTTAATAGAAGCAGTTTTAATTTCCACTTTATACTTACCATGTTTTAACCAACATTTTAAATAACTCGCCACTGAAAAAGCTGGGTGTGCTGTGGACAAATTTGCAAATTGCTGAGAGTAAATGTGTGTTCCCTGTTGATTTCAGTTATCTACTTTCCAGAAGCAAAGCAGAGTTACAAACATTTCCAACTTCACAGCTACTTCTTGACAATTTATGGTATTCAGGCACACACTTGATTTCAGTTAGCCCCAAACATGTCTAAAAATGTTTTTAAAGGTCTTTTCTCAAAAATTTGGTATCAGAGATTATGGTAAGAGTAGATTTCCTGAAGTTAATAATATTCGTGAACCTGATTTACAGATTGTTCTGGTAGCTGCCCTTTGAGGTACATTTCTGATTATTGGGGAGTTTAGTGTGAATGGAAGAAGATGTATTGTTTGTCCAAAGGGTCTGATGGCTCTTAATCCTACCCCTTGCAGGACAGAAGCTGTAGCTGGCCTTTAAATTAGGTTGGCTTTGTTGTTTGGGTGCGCAGAAGCCTAACACACAACTTCCTCGTGTAAATTTTCTAATGTCTATCGTGTGTATCTTCTGGGGTAGTCTACTGAGAGTGATCTGAAGCCCAGCTTGTCTGCCTACCCTAGTGCCTCCCACACCCTCCATTTCTGAGCCCAGCCATGGCCCACTCACTCCGCACTACACTGCTGACTCCAGGATAGTTTGGAAAAAAAAGGGAGAAAGCATTTATGGTTGCTTTTAGTACTTCAAAGTAGAGTAAAGATGAAGATCTTTGGGGCTAAGGAAAAGGACTTGGAATGAAGACCCCCTTGCCTTAGGCTCTGTTCCCCATAAGAGGTTCAAAAGCAACGTTATTCTCAGCAGACAGTATTTTTCTTCTCTTCCCTCCTTGTGCCTCAGGCTGGGATCTCTCTCCCTGATTTCACCACAGCTCTCTCCTCTCCCAAGTTTGAACATTATTGACTTTTTCTTTTTAGATAACTTAACTTTTTACATAACCAGAGTGGAGACATAGATTGTATTGACCTCAATTGTTTTTCTCTCCCTCAAGGCTTGGAGCATCACCTACCACAGCTGGTTGACTTTCGTGCTGTTGATCTGGTCGTGCACTCTTTGGATGATTCGCAACAGGAGGAAATATGCCATGATCAGCTCTCCTTTCATGGTGGTTTATGGAAATCTGCTGCTGATATTACAGTATATATGGAGTTTTGAACTTCCTGAAATTAAAAAGGTCCCAGGATTTTTAGAAAAGAAAGAGCCAGGAGAACTTGCCTCAAAGGTAAGTGAACAGGAAAACGAGAAAACAAAACATTGAAACAAAACCACAATAATCATAATAATCATATCTAAGCAAAAACTTACACAAATAGCTTCCAAATATTCACTGCTATACAAAAAGGAACAGAAATGAAACTATAAGAAATAATTTATATTGCTTAGAGGTCTCTAATTTAAACACGAACAAATATTATACCATGCTTTTAGATTTTATTTAAAAATGACAATCGGGGCCGGCCCCGTGGCTTAGTGGTTAAGTGCGCGCCCTCCGCTACTGGCGGCCCGGATTCGGATCCGGGGCACGCACTGACCCACCGCTTGTCCAGCCATGCTGAGGTGGCATCCCACATACAGCAACTAGAAGGATGTGCAACTATAACATACAACTATCTACTGGGGCTTTGGGGAGAAAAAGGAGGAATATTGGCAATAGATGTTAGCTCAGGGCCGGTTTTCCTCAGCGAAAAGTGGAGGATTGGCATGGATGTTAGCTCAGGGCTGATCTTCCTCACAAAAATAAATAAATAAATAATAAAAAAATAAAAATGACAATGCTTTCCACTGCAAGAAAAAAATATAGTCTAAGGTTTTTTTTGGCATAAATTACAGTATAGCAGAAATTAGATGGGGAAATAGGAAAATACAATGTCAAATACGTCAAGGGATGAGAGGATTTTCTTTGATAGATACCAGTTTGCAAAACAGGCAACACATTGCTGCTGCAGATAATCAGTGATTATTAGTGAAAACACTTTTTTCTGCAGTTATGTCCTAAAAAAATTTTAGCAGCAAAAATTTAGTATGACCCTTGCTTTTGTTTCTTCTACTGATTGTATAATATGCTTTCATCTGAATTAGAAACTTCCTAATCTTTCACCACTCATTTATTTTCATGGTCCATTTTAACAGTTTTTACTTCAGAAGATGAGGTGCCCCAGCTTTTCTATGTTTTGTGAACAGAATGGCAGATTCTGAATACATGTTCCCTTTGTGTTGATGACTTTGTGTTAAGACAGTAAAAGCAATATCACATGTAAATACTGAAGGAGGCTTGAAAATCTTTCTCCTCTGGGCAGAGAGGAAAATTAGTGTCTCTGAAAGAGACATTCATTTACATCACATGAAATCCACCTTTCCTGGGAGCAACCCCCTTTTTTATAGGTTACCAGACACCCCATATCCAAGGGAATCAGGTGTAAATGGTGGTGCTGAATAGACTTGACCAAGGATTGGTTGCCATAACAGATTTTTTGGTGAAGGCTACTGGGGTAAAGGAAAAAATCCTAACAGGTGAGTGCTAATGACAGAAATTAGATCATAATTCCCTCTGTTCATAGATCAGGGCAACTTCATTCGCTGATTTATTCATTCATTCATACAAAACTCCCATGCCTACCCTACTCCCAAACCTTACTCCGTGCTGAGTCTCATATAATACTCTCACTCACAAGTCACCTTTATCTGACACTCTTCCCTTTCATTCTCTCCCTCCTTGTCTTTCCCCTTAAACATACACACAAAACTGGTAAGTTAGTCTTGTTTATGAAAGAAATAAAAATCTTATCCTTTTGAGTGTGTAAATCCATTATCCGTGAGACGTCTAAAAGTGCATGCCAGCTAACTAATTGTTACCTTTCCTGTCTCATTTAAAATTAATAGCTCTTGGGGGGGGGGGGCGTGAATTTTGGGGGAAATAAATTTATTAATTGTAAAAAGAAAACAATGTTATTCTGGGGAAACTGCGGTTTGCACTTATGTTTTAATGTTATCCAAGAGCTCAAAAAAATAAAAACGCAAGGCTTTGTCATAGATAATAACAACACAACTCTGAGATCATAAAATCTCTATCACAGTGACATTCATCAAAGTACATTGCTAAACACACACTGTTTGCAGAGTACTGGGTGGGTCACTGTGATAGAAAATGAGAGAAAGAAAGAATATGGCCTGGATCCTCAAAGGTGGGAACCCTCTGGTGGAGCCAGACTCAACTACTTTGCAGCATTCTTCAGCTCCCCGGCTCCGTCAGACCATATCAACTGCCACCTTCAAAACCTGGCTTTTAACTCACCTTCCCTAGGAAGGATGTCCCCTCTGCCCCTAAGTGTTCCTAGGTTCTCTGTATATGCATTAGAGAAACATTTCTTTCCAAAGTGCAGCTATAGTTCAATTTGCTGTGACTTCCAGAAGTTTAATGCCAGGTTTTCAGAAGTGTAGGCATTCTGGTTCTTGATTTCGTTAGGTCCTGAACATATTTACCAGGACTTATTGGCACTGGTTTATGTTGACGGTAGATGATAAGTGAATATTTATGGATAGTTAAATGGGCAGTTATCCAAAGTGAAAATGACCCATTCATTGCCTATTTATTCAATGCTTATTTATTTTTTCATTTCTTTGGCAAATATTCATTAAAAGCCTATTATGAACCACAATAAGATACCACTTTGCACCCACTAGGATGGCTAGAATCAAAAAAACAGACAATAACAAGAGTTAACGAGAAAGTGGAGAAATTGGAACCATCATATACTGCTGGTGGGAATGTAAAATGGTGCAGCCACTTTCAAAAACAGTCAGTTCCTTAAAATGTTAAACATAGAATTACCATAAGACCCAGCAATTCCACTCCTAGGTATATATACCCCAGAGAACTGAACACCTGTGTCCACACAAAAACTTGTACATGAATCCTCATAGCGGTGTTCTTCATAATAGTCACACAAAAAAATAGTAACAACCTAAGTGCCCATCAACTGATGAATGGATACGTAAAATGTTGTCTATCTATACAATGGAGTATTATTTGGTAATAAAAAGGAATGAAGTACCAATACATGCTACAACATGGGTAAACCTTGAAAATATTATGCTAAGTAAAATAAGCCACTTACAAAAGAATGCACATTATGTAATTCCATTTATATAAAATGTCCAGATTAGGGGCTGGCCTGTGGCTAGTGGTTAAGTTCATGCGCTCCGCTTTGGCAGCCTGGGGTTCGCAGATTTGAATCCCAGGTGTGGACCTACGCACTGCTCATCAAGCCATGCTGTGGCGGCATCCCACATACAAAATAGAGGAAGATGGGCACAGATGTCAGCTCAGGGCCGATCTTCCTCAGCAAAAAGAGGAAGACTGGAAATGGATGTTAGCTCATGGCCAATCTCCCTCACCAAAAAAAATAAAATAAAATGTCCAGATTAGGCACTCTATAGGGACAGAAAGTAAATCAATGGTTGACTAGAGCTGAGGTGGGGAGTAAGGGGGTTGACTGCTATGGGGCTTCTTTTTGGGATGATGAAAATATTCTAAAATCAGTTGCAGTGGTGGTTACATAACTCTGTAAATATACTAAAATCCATTGAATTGTACACTTCAAATAGGTGGATTGTATGGCATGTGAATTATATCTCAGTAAAACTGGTACAAAAAACTACTGTGTGCCAGGTCCTATATTCCGTGAAGAATGGAGCTCCCGGAAATCATAACTTTTTTTCCTAGCCCTCAAGAAAATGTTAATATACAGGTGTGGGCACTTAGAACAATACTTCCTTCAGCTTTGGGAGATGAATGGGAATATTAAGGGGTCCTATTTTCTGGGATGAAATGTTCTTTTTCCCATCTGGGGAATTCTTCAAAATAAGGAACATTGCAGAGTCAACAAGTTGTGTAGAAGAAGTGTGTCTTCCTGTCACAGTTGTGCTGATGTCACCATCAGGGCAGGAAATGAAGGACTAGCACCTTGAGGGAGACCAATTTTTCCGGCCCAGATGGAAGCAGTTTGGCCTGTCCCATGTGTCATCTCCAAGGGCCTCTCGTGGTGTGGACTGTGCTCCCGGCACGCGAGGTGCATGCTGGCGTCCTCAGGAAAGGGGATTTACAAGCCAGTGACTTTCAGTTGAAATCAAGTGGGTGCCTGATTCTATCTCAAATAGAAAGGTTTATTTATTGTGCTCCCACTGAAATGTGGAGAAAATATCGTATTTTTTGAAATGTATTTACACTTCAAATGGTGGCTTAATTCTTGCTTTGCAAATTCTCTATTTTCAGATACTTTTCACCATTACTTTTTGGCTACTGCTGAGGCAGCACCTCACAGAGCAAAAAGCTCTTCGGGAAAAGGAAGCTCTTTTATCAGAGGTCAAAATTGGAAGTCAGGAAAATGAAGAAAAAGGTAAATTAGTGTCTGCAGCGTCTGACTGGAGGTTTTTGTGCTCAGCGCAATTATGGAGACAAAGTCCCCAAAATACGTTGGAAAGTCTCTATGCTTCAGACTAGATGGAAGCCAAACGTTAACTTGGAGTGATAAATAACCGTATTATAGTTCACAAGATTTAGAGTACACGTGGGGCTTCACAAGGGGCTTTTGAAAATGTTGTGTCATTTGATCCTCACAAAAGTGATTCCCACTTAAGAGAAGAAGAAACTGAGGCTCGGAGAAGTTAAATGATTTCTCCGAGGTCACACTTTTAGAGCCATGAAACAACCAGAATTTGAAACTGATATGGTAGTATTGATTTGTGTCATTGCTGCCTCTTTATTTTTCTAGATCCTGCAGTACTTAAAGCTATCATTGGATGTTGGAAATGAAACAGGTGTTATAAAAAGATTAGTATAAAATATTACCAAATTTATTTCTTTTACACTATATTTCAGGAAGGTTATGAAAGTTGACTGTGATTAGTTATAAATGCCGCCTTGTTTACTAGAAGAGTCTACAATCATTTCACTCATATAGTAACACATAAAATGCATGCTGTGTGGCCCACATACGACACCTGGTGAAAGTGGGGCTCTGGTCAGGGAATCAGCTCAGTATAACAGCACGGACTTCTGTTTTGAAGATGACGAGCAAGATATACAGGTGGAAGGAGAGGCCGAAGAGAAGGAGGAAGAAGAGGAAGCAAAGGAAAAAAAGCAGGAGAGAAAGAAGGAAGAGGAAGAGGAAGTGGAGGAAGACGATGACCAAGACATCATGAAGGTGCTGGGCAATCTGGTGGTGGCCATGTTCATCAAGTACTGGATCTACGTCTGTGGAGGAATGTTCTTCTTCGTCAGCTTCGAGGGTAAAATTGTGATGTACAAAATCATCTACATGGTGCTGTTTCTGTTCTGTGTGGCCTTGTATCAGGTAGGTAAACAGTTGTCCTCTATTTTTTTATCCTCACACCTGTCCCAGGAATCCATGTGGGCTTCCTGTGATGAGAGGCTAAGATACTATAACCTCCCGAACATACTGGATAGTGATTGATGCAATTCAAGCATTACATACTAAGAGTCCTAAAATGGGAAATGACTGTCTTCAGTTTGTTCATCACTTTAAAATTTTAGTAAAAAGTCAAAAAAAGTTCATGAGTTTTTCAAAAATTCTTGATAAAAAAAAAAGAAGCCTGTAAAATTAGATTAATTTCTCAATAGTGATTTAAGAAGAGTGGCTGGATAATCTAAAATATTGGGTGACACCCAGTTCCCTTGTATTTCAGACTATGGAATCAGAAAACTGTGTGTGTGTGTGTGTGCGTGTACATGTATATGTATAATGCATCAACCGCTTTAGTATTTCCTTAATTAGAATTTATAAGAGATTATATTAAAGTGAGTTAGCCTCTCCACAGATTCAGTTTTAACTGATGATAGACGTTTTAACCCACAGTAGAAACAAGTGCGACAGTGAAATATTTGTGAAGCAACCAACAGAACAAATGAAGCAACGCCAGTGAACAAGAGCATGGAGAGAGAAAAATGTCTCAACTGAAATCAATACAGTTCTGAAATACTTTTAAAAATTCAGGGTAGATGTTCTCTAGTGAATATCCACAGGCTCGTGGTCGAGAGCAGCGTCTCCTCTGTGGTGGTTTCACGTTTTCATTCATATAGCACCACTTCGAATTTCAAACCTGAGCCAGTTTCTCCCAGCAATAACCACAATGATGGCAGCATCTACCATACCATTCCTTGAATGCCTCCTATAGATCAGATACTGTGCCGAGAGCCTTATAAACTTATTATTTCATCCTCTTGACAACTCTCGAAGTAGGTACTTATTGGACTACCTCAGTGTGGTCCAGCGACTTGCCCAAAGACACAGTTAGCAACTTCTGGTAAGACTGGATTCCAATCCAGATCCATCCAACTCTGAGGAACAGAACCTTGAAAACTAAAAATGAAATAGACTTTATTTTCAAGTATTTGCAAATATCATCACCTGTCTTAGTTAAATAAACCAGATATATTTGAGAGTTTTTCTATAACCAATTTTTCTCTTGTTTGTTTTTCAACGTCTGATTTGCAGGTGCACTATGAATGGTGGAGGCGAATGCTCAAATATTTTTGGATGTCAGTGGTTATCTATACTATGCTGGTGCTCATCTTTATATACACTTATCAGTTTGAAAATTTCCCAGGCCTGTGGCAAAATATGACTGGATTAAAAAAAGAAAAGTAAGCAATGTTGGTGTATGATGGGATGTGAAAGTGACAACCAGGATGGAGATTTGAATACATGTTGTTCAAAATATTTTTATGAAAGATTTTAGTAAAACACAATGTCATCAATGTCTGTAATTCCTTTGAGAACAGGATTCATGTCTTAGTCATGTTGTGTTCTCTCTGTGTAACTCTGAGGTTGGCACAGAGTAGGTACTCAATGTATATTGACTGAAAAGTGAATTTTCAGCCCCATTTTAATGAAATGAGCTTTTTTAATGTCAGTTTCCTGTGAAACACACCTGCTTAGTATTTTAGCATTCACCCTTTCTGCTCTCCAAACTGGAGCTCAGTTCTTCAGTTCATCAGTGAGTTCATGGACTCACAATACAGCAGCAGCCTCTCCTCATTCATGTCACTGGTACTAAGATTCTAAGGAGTAGTTGGTGTCATAGAAAAAGAAATTTCTGCCCGTGTTAATAGAGTAGTGATGATGAATCAACTTTTCCTGTGCATGTAGTAGATAGTACTCTATCCTTTTCCAATTTGCTTCTGTAAACACTTGAAATTAGTTTAGAAATCCAACCAGAACTGGGCATAGAGCTGAATACACTGAGGTAGCTAAGAGAAAAGCTTAAAAAGAAAGGATCGCCATGTAGCTGGACTAACACATCTTTAATGTTTATTCAACAAATATTTATCAAATGCCTTCCATGTGCCAGACATGGACTGTGCCTGGGGAAATAACAGGAAGCAAGTCAGACAGAGCCTAAGCCTGTGGAGTTTATATTCTAGTGGAGGAGACAAACAAAACTCCTACTTAATGTGCAGATAAATTAATTACAAATTGTGACAAGGCTGTGGTAGTGAACAATGAGGGATACTAACTATGCATGGAGTGGTCAGAGTAGGCTTCATTGAGGAGGTGTCATTTAAACTCCACCTGAAGGATAAGAAGGAATTTGTCTCTAGAAAACTGTGTGCGTTGGGAGCTGGGATGCAGAAGAGCATCCCAGGCAAAGAGAACAGCAAATGCAAAGGCCCTGAGGCAGGGCAGAGTTTGGCACATATGAAGGACTGAAGGAAGGCTGGCCTGCTGGGATCAAGGGGCAGAGTGGAAAGACAAGTGGGAGTGTTCAGCCAGGCACCTGGGACGTGCATGGCATGTAGGTAGCATTGGTTGATATTTTATTCTTGTTGAAATTTTTAGAAGTCTTTAAAGAACCCTGGACTGGCTGAGAAGAAGTGATATGTCAGAAGGCAAGAGTAGAAACAACAAGACCATTAGCAAGCAATAGCAGTGGTCTTGTGAGAAATGATGGTGGCTTCACCTAGAATAGGTGGCCGTAGAGATGGATAACAGCAGTGGACAGAGTCAAGAGATGTTTAGGAGGTTGAAGGCACTGTGGATGAATGAGATGTGAAGGCAAAGAAAAAATCAAGAAAGACTTCCTGGCTTTGGAATTTTGCAAAGGATCAGCGGTTGTACCAGGAAAGACTAGAGTGGCGAAAGGGAGATGGAGAACAGCTTGGCTAAGGAAAATTGGGAAATCCAGAATACTGTTTTGAGGGGCCGGCCCTGTGGTGTAGTGGTTGAGTTCTGTGCACTCCCCTTCAGTGGCCCGGATTTGCGGGTTCGGATCCTGGGTGTGGACCCACACGGCTCGTCAGCCATGCTGTGGTGGCAACACACATACAAAATAGAAGACTGGCGCAGACGTTAGCTCAGGGCTAATCTTCTCAAGGAAAAAAAGAGGAAGATTGGCAACGGATGTTAGCTCAAGGCGAATCTTACTCACCAAAAAAAAAAAAAAAAAGGATACTGTTTTGAAAACACTAAATATGAAATAACTGTGAAACAACCAATTTTCAGTAGATCTTGGGGTATGAGAGTCCCCAGGAGAAAGGTGAGCTGTAAACGCACATTTGAGTCGTTGACATAAAGATGGTCTATGAATGCGCGGGCCGAGGTGGGATGACCTGAGGGGAGAGTAAGCTGGAGAAGAGACTCAGCACGGAGTTCTGGGGGTCTTTCAGCACCTGGAGTCCAACAGACAAGGAGGAGGTAGTGACAGAAGAGAACAACCAGGACACTGTGGCGGCCTCCAGACCAGGGTCGTTTCAGGAAGGGCTGGAGAAAGAATTGAACAAAGACAGAGAAGCAGCCCCTGAATTTGGCAATATCGAGGTCGGTATTGACCACTGTCAGAGCGGGTCAGTTGGACTGGTGGAAACAAAAGCCAAACTGGAATGTATGGGAGAGAGGGGTGCTGTAAACGGTGTGACTGACGAGAGGGAAAGGCTGTGGTGTAATTTATAGTGATGAGTGTGTCTTCATTGCCTAAGAAAGGTTCTTGCTTTTCGTTTTGTTTTGTTTTACAGGCTTGAGGATCTTGGCTTAAAACAGTTTACCGTGGCTGAACTATTCACTCGAATATTCATCCCAACCTCCTTTCTGCTGGTGTGCATTTTACACCTTCACTATTTCCATGATCGGTTCCTGGAACTCACAGACCTAAAGTCCATTCCCAGCAAGGAAGACAGCACCATTTACAGGTGAGCGAGCGCCGGAAGCACATGGCTCGCTGTCAGAAGGCAGCCTTGATTCTCCACCTTCCCATGGTCACCTTGTGGTCACCTTCCAATCTAACTTAGAATTTCAACCTTGAACTTTCCATGAGTATCAACCTGTGAGTGAAAAAAAAGTGAGCAATAATTGTGGGATATTTGATGACACTTTCTGAAACAGCTGGTGGTGCCTTATGACTGGTTAATGTAAAGTGCTCTTGATGGTCATTTGAGCAGTAGACCCGGAGCAGCGGTGCAGATACGACACTTTAGAGCTGGCAACGTGTGGTTTATGTCCAGGCTGGTTATGTGTTTTTAGGACATTTACAGAATCTGGCTAATTCAGAGGACAAGTTTTCTATTGCCCTAACAACCAGTCAAGAGGTCACTGTGAGTGAGAGCATACCAAAAAATGATGGGCAGAATTTTCCCTTGCATTTTGGAAATGAAGAATCTTAGCTAAGAGGACAGAGTGCAAGCTGCTAGTACCTAGAATGACATTTAAGAAGAGAAAGTGAAGACAGCCTGAGCTCTCTGTTGTTGTCTTCTCTTCAATAAATATAACTTGTTTACAGGTAACAGATGGGATCTTGCTCTCCCCGCCCATGTGTGTTGAAACCACAATGGATTATCACACATCCCTCAATGTGTTCCATCTCAGGGAAATTACAAGCGTTCTTCCAATGAATGTTAATACTGATATTCCTCTCTGCTTCATAGTTAGCCTATGATTCAGTTCTTGGAAAAACACTTGTTAAGCAGCTAAGGGAGCAAAGTGCTGTGTTAAAAGAAGCACAGATGCCACAGCTGAAAATTTCTCCTAGCTTTTTTGACTTCCCCTTAACTCTTTTTCAAGGGAATAAAATGAGTACATCAAAATGAGTAGATCAAAAGAAGATGAAGATTTCATCATGCACAGTTTGTGAAATACCAAACTTTCAATTTTCTGCTGTAGTAGGGGCTGGGATTATGTATAATTCTAAAACACTTTTATTTGATGATGAAAAACATTTTATAATCTTTATCTATTTATTTATGACCAGCAGATTTATTTTCTTTATTATGTTTTGTTGAACCTAAGATTACATTTACTTTTCATTCTAAGCATATCCCAGATGACTGTGAGTCTATTCCAGATGACTGTCAGTGTGTCAGTGGCTCCCAACCAATACAGCCAAGAGGTGTCAGCCAGTCGTTATTTCGTTTTTTTAATTTTTAATTTTTTTGTGAGGAAGATCAGCCCTGAGCTAACATCCATGCTAATCCTCCTTTTTTTGCTGAGGAAGACCAGCTCTGAGCTAACATCTATTGCCAATCCTCCTCCATTTTTTTCCTCAAAGCCCCAGTAGATAGTTGTATGCTATAGTTGCACATCCTTCTAGTTCCTGTATGTGGGACGCAGCCTCAGCATGGCCGGAGAAGCGGTGCGTCGGTGCGCGCCCAGGATCCGAACCTGGGCCGCCATTAGCGGAGCACGCACTTAACCGCTAAGCCATGGGGCCGGCCCCCAGTCGTTATTTCTTGTCCTGTCTTGCCACCGTAAATAATCAGGCTCAGCTAAAACCTATGTCCTCCCAAAACCCCAGCAGGGAGAAGGGCACGGATGGGGTCAGCAGCTGCCTTCAGTGATAATCAAACATTAGGAAAAATAGTTATTAGAAGTTTGGGAACCCCCTAGGAGAGATGATTCATAGGCAAACTTGTTGGCAAGAGAAATAACCCTAAGATTAAAAGTTGCAAAAACAATGCCTGCATAGAAAAGTGATAGTTGTCAATAGTTAGAAAAATTATTGTTTGTTGATTCTTTTGACATTGCTTGTGATACCTGTGGATAAAACTAGTATTTGATATTTAACTCTGACAATGTAACATGCTTTATTTAATGGCAAACCCTCATCAGTTTTTCAAAAAGTCGTATTCAATAATCAAAAAAAAAAAACATTTTAGTTGGTGGAGTGGATTTATATGTTTGTGAAAGAAATGTAATTATTACTAATTGCTAATGATGTCTTTAAAAATTTTTTTCTTCTAAATGCCTTTCTTCCCTTGCATCTTCATTTTCTTCTCGTTAAAAGTTCGCCAAGGGGCTGGCCCAGTGGCGCAAGCGGTTAAGTGCGTGCGCTACGCTTCGGCAGCCTGGGTTCACAGGTTCGGATCTGCGGTGCTCACCCACGCACCGCTTGGCAGGCCATGCTGTGGCAGCATCCCGTATAAAGTAGAGGAAGATGGGTACGGATGTTAGCCCAGGGCCAATCTTCCTCAAGAAAAAGGGGGAGGATTGGCATCGGATGTTAGCTCAGGGCTGGTCCTCCTCACACACACACAAAATAATAATAAAAAAATAAATAAATAAAAGCTCCCCTAGTATATAGGAGCTTTTTCTTGCCATTATTCTTATTATCATTTGTCTGAGTCATCTGTCACACAATCACATAGAGATGTCACAATTTTTCCAGAAAAACAGAGATTTTCAGGACCACAGTTTTATAGAAGATAATACAGCTCAGCAATGATTTTACCAGCCTAAAGAATCACAGTTTTTGAGACAGAGGGTATGTGAAAACTGAATTTGTTCCACAGAGTTCCTTCTAAGTATATAGAAGACTGTGTGATTATGTAGGTTCTGGGGAAGGACTGCAGCCTCCCGTCAAGCAGTGTTCTCCCCATGTCCTCAGCCCTCACCCTCCCACCAGGGCGAGGGAGGAAACATCTAAAGGTGCTATGGCAGTGTGAGGGCGTTGCTTGCCTGTCTCACACCGTGGCTTCATCCTCAGCACTCCATGAACAGTTAATTTTCCCATAAAATTTAAAGGGTGAGGAGAGAATGTAAGAGTATAAAACTCTCCAGCCATCTGAAGAGTTTAGTTAGGTACATGGGATTTCATTTTCAGTTCTGTGAAAAAAAAAGTCTTCTAGAACCTTAAGAAATTTGAAAGACTCACTCCAGTTTGGTATTTTGGGATTTCATGCAAGAGTTTAAAGTCCCAACATTTTAACTTTGAACATATGATATATATCCCATCTTTTTAGCAGCTCTTCCCCATTGTCGTATTTTCCTTACTAATACTATCCACCTCACGGTATGTTTTTGTCTCTAGAGTCCTAATCAATGACTGCATTAAACTCAAAATGATGAAGAAAAAGAAATATTTTATGAGTTGGGATTGACTGCCGTGCTTTGCTTTCTCTGCTCCCACCTCCTTAGATACTTGACAAAAAACGGCCCATAAATTGAGAATAATACAAGCATTGTATTCCTTCCATTTATTCCAGCTGTTGCTTCTCTAAATATCCAACTGTTCTTCTCCTGTTTTGTCCATTGTTTGTGTGAGTGTCCATATACGAAGTATAAGGAAATGTCCATTGTGTTGGAGGAGAATTGATTGTGTTTAGCCTTACAGAATTTATAAAGTTAACATTATGAAAAAGTTTTATGATAGAAGAAACTATTATTATTTCTAAATAGAAGTTCTCAGGAGTATCATTTCACTTTGATAAAATATATATTATAATTATAATATAACTATTATATAATATATACTTGATAATAATGTGCTAAATATCCATTACTTATATCCATCACGGCAATTTGTCCATAATTTGTTTTAGAAAGTACTGTGATGCATATAGAAATAAAATGACTTTTTTTTTACCTCAGTTTTAGGAAAGCTTAGAGAAAATATGTAGAATATGGTTATTTAGTAGGATTTTACTTTTTTAACTCTGGGAAAGGAGCGAGAATTCATCTTTTAAATTGTATTTTATTTGATAAATTTACTCTGAAAATTTAAGCTTTACAAATTTTTAATAAAGTGTGTGAGATGGGAGGGATGAGAAGAATGGAGAAACCTGTTATCTTCAGGCATTTTTCCTGAATATGTCTGATTTCATGTTGCTGCTGAATCTTGCTGCCTAGACTCTTCTTCAGTGCATGAAATGTGTCAACGATGACCCACCTGATGATGTAAAGCTTGCGAGACACGTCTACTTCATTCGTCTCTGTCTAACAATCTCTTCTTTCTCTCTCCAACCTGTCTCCCCGTTGCCACCGCATGCAACCTTGTGCTTCCATCTCTCACCTCATAGCCATGCCAAAGTCAATGGGCGCGTGTATCTAATAATAAATAGGTGGGTACTTCAATGTTTTCTCTCTTGTTTTTGTTAAAAACAATCTCTTGGTGTGTTAAACACTTTACTGTTTTGTAAATGAAAAATTATGACATCAGATAGTGGACGATGGTCTTCAGGTATGCTCGTGGATGTATCTTGCAAAGCAAATCATTTGGTGTTTATACTGAATGGCGCCGCCAAGTGGATTTGGAGGTTGCTGAGGGTCTTCAGCTGGTGCTCAGCCTTTGGTCTTGGTTCAAACATATGCCCCATTAGTTTCATTCTTTGGTAGAATTAGTTCAAGCTTGCCCAAGAGCTCATCTCCCTCTTGAACATCTGAGAGCTCAGCTCAAGAACCACCTCCTCCACAAGCCTGCCCATAAATGCTGACTTCCCCGCTAACAGAAATCGGCCCTTCCTCTGAACTTCTGTAGCCCTTTATCATTGCCGCCTCCTGACACTTGCCGTCCAGCCCTCGATGATCTGCCTGCTTGTCTTATCTCCCTCGCCAGAGGTATCAGCTCCTCAGGCCTGGAGTCCCTGTATAATTCACCAAGGTGTCCCCACATCACCTACCTCATGGCCTTACTCATTAGTGGACCCTCAGTAGATACTTCCTGAATGAAGTGACAATAGTCACAACAATATATGGTTAAAAGAAAATTAAAACATCAATTTCTTCAACTATACTTCTACTTGAAAAATCAACATATTGAAGAACGGTGTTTTAGATCACCAGATTTCACTATATATTTGCTTACCACAAAAGCAGCAAAGATAGGCACCGAGACCTGGCCGCACCTTAGATGCATGTCACCTAGCTGGGAGATAAAAGATGCAAATGACCATACATAATGAAGAGTAGGCTTTGATAGTGT